GGTTCGGAGTGATTTCGGTTCAGTTTTTGGAAAGGTTCGGAATTCTCCGAGTCCCATGCTCAGCGCCAGCGAGCAACAGAGGAAAATTTGTACAAAAAAACCTAATCCGACCTTGAGATTTGAATTGATAGAAAACGATAGAAAGAAAGAGGTGCGCCCATCCAGTTTGGCAGATCAACGGCTTCAGTTTCATCCTCGTTCGGCCCTTACGGAATACATCTTGTTGAGTAAGCTTTTTTTTTTTTCTAATTTCTGAATGTCGATTGCCCAGCAACAGCAAGAATCTGATTTCTGTTTTTTTCTTTTTATTTTCATGAATTAGGCAAATAGGTGGGAAGAAAATTTTATATGCTATAATAGATTAGGGAATAGAGAATAATGGAGATGGGTTTAATTGTTTTCTTCGGTGGGTGGCGGGGTGGGGCTGTGGGTGGGGGAGAAAGTATTGTATTTGTGTAACAAATTTCTTAGGTTTTTAATGAAAGAAAAAATCAATTAATTTGCCTTTTTAATTGAATTATTGTTGTTTCTTTTTTTTTTAGTGGACTGATTGTAGACTATTTGAATTATTGTTGTTTCTTTAGTCATGTATTTATGCTTTTTGATGGTTCCATGATCAATTTATCTACAACCCATTGAGGGACCAACTAAAATTTTAATTTGAGTGAGAGAGAAAAGAAAAGGTTCATCACTTTGAATTGATTTTTTTGTTTTTGCCTCTATGGTTTGGGTTTTTTTGTTTTTGTTTTTGTTTTTTTTTTGTTTTTTGGAATTCCTTGCTTAACGATTATTATATATTCTAATTTTTATTTATTTATTTTAAAATTTAGGTCATGGAACGATTTTATAAGAAATTGTCAAAGAGTGTTGAAACATCATCCTCTTCAACTAAAGCTCCTACGACGGCCGCATTATCCCTACCATCTGAAACGCCTCCAATTTTTTGTGATTCTCAAGTTCCATTATGGAATGAAGATAATGCGGAGTTTCATTTGAAAAATCTTCCAAGCGATCTTGTACTACGACCTAGCATAACGAGCTATCCGCCAAATTTGATACAACAAGTTCGTAGAGCTTACTTGTTAAAAGGTCCATGTCAACCACGCGAGCATGATTTTCCTCAAACTTTAGATGGAAATCGAAAACGTAAATTTGTTGCATCTTGGTTTGATGAATTCAAGGATTGGTTGGACTATAGCATTGTGAAAGATGTTG